TTGCGCGGGTAGCAGAACTGGTGCTCGCACCGCGGGTGCGGCAAGGCCACCGTCAGGTTGTGGCGCTCGGCGAAGCGGAACAGAATGTTCTGCACCGTGGTCCCCGCCGTCTTGTGCGTCTTCAGGAAGGCCACGGTCATGTGCTTGGGGCGCGGTGGGGAGTCCTGCAGAGGCGGGCAGCTCAGAGGGAACAGCTTGGGGTACCTGCAGGGTCCAGGGAGGGGCGCAGGGAGGAGGGTGTGAGAGGCTGTGAGCCCTGCCCCTGCCCGAGGGTGGTTGGGGTGGGCGACAGAGCAGCCCATTTTGGGCTTTACCCACAGAGCAGTGGAGGGGTATGGTAGGCGGCCTCTAAGATGACCCACGTGATCCCTGCTGGCCTCCTGGTAGTCATGCTGTTGGGTATTTCCTTCCCCTTGAGTATGGGCGGGACTTATTGATGTCTCTAGGGAATAGAATGGGGCAGAAATGATGGATGTCACTTGTGAGATTGCACTATAAAAAGACTATGGCTTCTATCTCGGTGTCTTATCTAGGACAACTCCTGTAGGTGGTGAGCCGCCCTATGGGGAGGCATCCCATGGCAGCCGTTACCAAGGAACGGGGCCTTCAGTCCCGTCACCCTGTTCCAGGAACTGAAGTCTGCCAACAACCACATGAGTGAGCTTGGAAGGGGAGCCCTTCCAATCAGACCTTCGGATGAGACTGCAGCCCCATGAGAGAGCTTGAGCCGAGGTACCCAGCTAAGCCCCACCTGGGTTCCTGACCCACAGAAGTGAGATAATAAATGTTTGATGTGCTCAGCTGCTAAGTTTTGAGGTAATTTGGTTACACAGAAATAGATAACGAATAGAGGGAGAATGGCCCTTGGAGATCCTTGAGGAATTCCACTCTAAAGATGTAGAAACGGAGGTTTAGAAGAAAAAAAGTCATTTACATAAGTCTGGCAACCCAGATAAAGTCGCCAAGTCCTCTTGCTCTCTCTTGTTTTTCACTTTTTCTTTTTCACTGGCTCCTCGCCTTGTGGGTGAGAGGCAAGGTTCCTTGAGGCAAACCATTTGTCATGTGACTCTGTTAAGACCTCTGGAGCTTTATTCATTCATTCGGCCAATATTTTTTTTAATCATTTCCTATGTGCCAGGCACTGTTCTAGGCTCAAGAAATATGATAGTATAGAGAACAGATAACAATCCTACCCTTCATGAAGCGTTCATTTGTTTCCCTGATCCTGAAAGGATGTTTGGGCTTACAGGTAAACCCGTGAGGTCTTTTCAGACTTGGAGTCACTCTCCTGTTTCTTTTCTACCGCCCTAGTCATAATGGAATGAGGAAATGCTAAGCAGCTTTGAGTGCACCATTGAGATTTCCTATCCTTGGCTGATTTGGGTTCAGGATAATGTCTACACAGACGCCCTTTTAAAGACCAGCAAATCACGGGGATCGGGCCCACTCACGTCATTCACCTGGGCAGACCATGCAGAAAATGGGGAAGTTGAGGCTCTGAGGGGTGCAGGTATTTGTTGGGTTCACATGTGAGCCAGGAGTAGGGTCAGGGCTCCTATTAGTCACATGGTATCCTGTGTCAGGGTGACTAGCTGGGTCACACATACCATCATTTCTATTTTACAGATGAGGGAACGGGCTCAGAGAAGTGAGAGGACTCGCCCAGCACAACAGAAGTAGTGAGAAGTTGTTTGCAGTCCTTTGGGGAGGCACTGGATTTGGACTGGATTAGAGTCCCAGTTTAGTCACTGACTCACTCTGACTTCAAGCAAGTCACTCCCATTTCAATGAAGATCAATCCATGCCCCGGGAGGTTGTGTGGATCTAAAGAGATGTATGGTGCCCGGCCAGCGTGGCTCATTGAGCATCGACCTATGAACCAGGAGGTTATGGTTTGATTCCTGATCAGGGCACATACCCAGGAGTGGGCTTGATCCCCAGTATGTGGCGTGTGGGAGGCAGCCGATCAATGATTCTCTCTCATCATTGATGTTTCTATATCTCTCTCCCTCTCCCTTCAGCTCTGAAATCAATGTAAATATATTTTTTTAAAAAAATAAAGAGATATGTGGAAAGCACTTCAGGATAGAGCAGTGATGGCGAACCTATGACACGCGAACTCATTTTTTTTGGTTGATTTTTCTTTGTTAAATGGCATTTAATTATATAAAATAAATATCAAAAATATAAATCTTTGTTTTACTATGGTTGCAAATATCAAAAAATTTCTATATGTGACACGGCACCAGAGTTAAGTTAGGGTTTTTCAAAATGCTGACACGCCGAGCGCAAAAGGTTCGCCATCGCTGGGATAGAGGGAAGGGACGAAGCTCAGCAGAAGACAGACTTCTGGCAGGTGCAAGGAATGGGAAGAAGGGCGCTCGGTTCTGGTGTTAACCAGGCAGCTGGCCCCCTGAATACCAAATGGCCCCGCCCCCTTACCAGCTGAGCTGTGCGCCCTGGTGGATGAGGAGGCTCAAGGTGCCGCACCCTAGCACCAGCAGCAGGACTTTCCTGCGGCTCACCATCTTGGTGGCCTGCTGCAGGCGCTGGAGGAAGGGCGGCATGATGGCGTACCCACCCCTGGACTAGCCAGGGTCTTGCTATCCAGGACACCCGCTGCTGGCACTCATGGGGGCTCCTGAGGCTCTGGTAGCAGGGCCAGTGTTCCGGAGAGGCCTGGCAGGGGGAGAAGGCAAACAGGCTTGCGGTGGGCAGAGGAGATGGCTCTCAGCCCCGCGGACTGCTGCAAAGGAGAGCTCCCAAGAGTGGGGTGAGCAGAGAGGCCAGGGAAGATCAGATTCCTGCCTCCCGTCACCAAGACCCTATCTCCACACGGCTCCAGATAACTTAGCCGTGGGTGGAATTACAGGCTCTGGGGTGCGGCCAGCCCTTCAGGCTATAGCCACTCCCTTAAGCCCTGTCTCTGCTTCTCTCTGTGCCCCCAATTCCTCTTTGTCTCGTGGCCGTTTGTATCTGTCTCCCCAGGAGACCTGCCTTGGCACCGCGGCTTGGCTCAGGTCACAGAAGTCTCAACTCAAGGGTTCCCCTCCTTCCCTGATGGCTTTGGCCAAGGGTTGGTCTTGACCCCCCAGAAACTGAGCTCCTCAGAGACACTGACCAAACTGTCACCTTCTCAGGTCTCTGACACAAGGACTTACTGTTTGTACTATGCTATTATATACTTACTCCCGTTTCATCACCTCAACCCTAACATATTATTCCCACTATATAGACAAGGAAACTGAGGCTCTAAAAATGAAGCCCCTTGGCTGGGCCCCAGAGCTGGTATTAGCAGAATCCGGGATCAGACCTGCTCTTTCTGGCTCCAGAGTCCATACCTTTAGGTAGGTTGTGCTGCTTCCGAAAAGAACTGGTTTCCCCAGCCTGCCCTGAACTCTGGCACTTCTGCCCGCTTCTGAGCCCTGAGCCCTCCCACCTGGGCTCCTGCTCTGATCGGAGGGTTCAAGACCAATAAATCCATGAGGGACTTGAAATCCTGGAACCCTACCTGGATTCCATCCCCAGACACCTGAAACCCTGGCCACCCCATCAGCTTCCTCCACAGTGAGAGGCAGTGGATGGCAGCTTGGGCGTGGGGCAGGGTGTGGGATGCAGAGGGGCTCCTGCTCATTGCCCTGCGGAGAATCTGGAGGTGGGCCTGCATTCCAGGTGAGTGACAGGTGTGAGAGCCAGAGGAGCCTGGTTTCCGGCCAGTCACCCACACACGAATGCTTTGGCTCAAGGGCAGCACAGCCCTTGGCAACTCCAGTGGAAAGTCAGCTTCAGTAGCAATGCCTGTCAGGTAGGGTGGGGTCTCTGCCCCAGCGGCCTCGTCTCCAGGTTCTGGTTCAGCTTCAGCCTCATATACCCTCCTCTCCAAAAGGGAGGGGGAGCCTGGGACCTTCCGGGCATGTGCATGTGTGGAACTAGGACACCTGGGTCCCAGGAGGGGTGAGGTAATGTGAAAACTCTTTTGACCATCACCTTTCCTGGGGGCCCTGGGCTTGGCTTCCAGTCCCTCTTCTTCCCCCGCACACAATTAATCCTGGATTACACTGAAACCTGATGGGGTGGTAAGATGTCTGGTTATGCCTTTCCCTTCCTTCCGGGCCCCAGCACCTTGTTTCCTCCATCAGCTTGCAGACAGACTTAATCCACCTGGAGCCAAGGGCGGTGAAGGGTCCAGCCACAGAGGACAACCAAGGAGCAAGTCCGCCCCCACCCCCTGCTAGGGCAGAGGAGGGCTGGCTCTGTCTGGGTGGGCAACCTTCAGGAGGAAGTCAGGGCCAGTGGCCCTCGCAGGATGGAGGCCTTCCCTTTGTCAGTTATCCTGCCTAGAGGACTTGGTGGCCAGGCAGGAGTTCCCCAAAGGGGCAAAGTGAGGGCCCAGCCTATTCCCATCTTTGCTAAACTCCTTGAAACCACCCTATTTTTCAGAGGACTCTGGGTCAGCCAAACATGTCAAGCCTGGAGGGAGCTATGGTGGAATTTTCTCTGGGAGATGCTTCAACCAGGTCACACAGAGAGGGCGATGGGCTGCTTGGTGGCTCCCTCCATGCCATTCCCCTTAGCCCCCGGGAGCCAGCCAGCCAGACCCTATGTTCCTATCACTTGGAACCAGCCATATGAGCACAAGAATTCCCCAGGCACGAGTTTCTGCTTGGCCACCATCGATGACAGAATGCTCATCACCTTCAGATACAGCCTGGTCCATTTCTGAGCAGTGCTGGCTGTTCAGAAGTTCTCTCTGGGATAGCTAGGACCCTCACTTGTCCCCTTCCACCTTCCGCTCTGCATGTGGCCTGCTGCCCTCCTAGACCACACAGACCATGACACCTGCAGGTGTTTGAAATCAGTACCCCTGTCTCCTTGGGGTGGGCACTCAGCCAGGATAAACGTTCCAGGTCCCAAGAGAGTGCTGCTCGCACATTGGAGGCAGCCTCCCTTCCCGTGGCAAGTTCAAACCTTGGTGCCTCTGCTGGAGATGGAGTCAGGGTCCGGACACCCGGGAGGGGCTGTCCGCTTCTGTGGTCTCCAGGCTGGTGTGGGAGGGTCTGCTGGGGCCAGGCCCCTCATGGGCTTCAAACTACTTCCCGGCTTCCCCTGTGTCTTCTCCATGGAGAGTTTCCCTGAGCCACCCCACACAGGCCAGGGTGCCCAACCTCATCAGAATATTAGGGCTAATTTTAGTCAGCACAGCCTACCTCAGGCTGCTGCAAATTGCTTTCCCTTCTCCAGGGAACCAAAGAAGAAATGGAACAGCTAGCCGGAGCTCTGCAAACTGGCCTGGGTGCCCACCCACTCCCAAGCGAGCCCTCCTCTGTCCTCCAAGCTCTAGGGCCAACAGTGGTGCATTTAGAGGAGGAGGGCGCCCTGGCCTGGACCACCCAGACCTGAGGACCTGACCTTTGGCTGACCTGGAGACTCTATCCTCACTTGAGGATGGCACAGTCCAGTAAACAGTTTCTCCCTAGAGAGAAGGGCCAAAGGCTAAGGAGGCTGCGAATGAGTGTCCCAGGAGATCAAGTATCTTTCCACCTCCTTCCTTTCCTTCCTTTTTCCTCCGCCTGCACCAGGTCCCTCCAGCCCCCTTTCCCTGTCCCCAGCGTCATCCGTGTATCCGAATTCCCCTCCCCTGGTCTCTCCATCACCATCTACCTCCCCCACCTCCATTCCCTCAGTTTCATCCCAACCTCCCCCAGGGATCTGTCACCGGCATCTGCTCTTAGGGGATAGGCCAGATTCGCCCTCTCACCCGGTCGTTTCCCGCTCCCCAGACACGCGCCCCTCCTCATGCTCTCCAGGCACTGCGCCCCTAGGACACGCTCCCGCCCACCCATCGCCCCCCTGCCGGGGC